AAATCTTCATCAGTAACAGATGAAGCACAGCTATAATCACTACTTCCTCTAATACTTGATCCAGCTATCATTTCTTCCTCTTCTAACTGGATATATACAAATGGCGTGTGAATTTAAATCAAAATTAATGGAAATCAAATCGTAATAACTCAATGGGAATAGATTATGCTGGTATGTTCTCACCACATGAATCTGCGTCATTGGCAAACTTCTTCTGTCACATATCTTTTTCTGTTTCGACTGTTCTATAAAATGACAAAGAAAACAATATTTATCATATCATAACACATAAAAACCATTACTACTAAATCACACGTACACAATTTTTATCATTAAAGCAAATCCATATCACTAATTTTCCCAACCGTACCTGGTAAATCAGACTTGCTAGAAAACAATTTCTTTCGAGATTTTGCGTTCCAGTCAAATATCTGGAAGAAGCCACTTCCACGTCTGGAACCATATTTCTCCATCCCCATATCCAGATACAGATTTCGTCCTGCCAATTCTGTTTTCAAGAACCACGGAAGTGACCGCCAAGATGAGCAATGCTTCTATACCAAATATCCATCTGAAATTCAATAAAATAAAAAGAGGCCATCTGAGGTTTCTGTAAAGAAACATAGATTTAAATCATTGACATTTCAACATCAATACGATTCGAAAGTTTATACCTCTAATCTTTCATCCACATTTCGAACAATCAAAGTAAGAGTTAATAGTTATCTAAAACATCAATGACGTTTTTGATAGAGAAGATTTGATAGCACCGGGAAGTAGGAAGGCATAAAAATAATGAAATAAAATAAAATAAAATCTTGGACTCCATTATAGTATCAAATATTGGGTACCAACGTTGTACCTATTTCAAAATCGACTAATTAACATTCCATTCAAGAAAATCACATTAATGTGTGAAATATCAAGTCAAGGTTTTCAAATCTCTGTTATTCAGCACTTCATCAACAATTAAAAATCACATCAAAAATACAAATCAAGCTAATCCACACTCTACATATTCCAAGAACCAAATAGAACAACCTAAAGGGTCAGTGATTTACAGTAAATCACTTCAAAAAAAATCGTAATGCAAACACAATTAAAATGAAATAATTTTTCTTAACAAAGATCATTAAAACCTCAAGAAAACAAAAACCCTTATTTTAATATGAAGAGAACTTACACGAACCACTTGAAATCAAGATCTTCAAAACTCTGTAGCGAAAACTATTATATTCACGATATGTATGTGCATATATATAGAGAGAGAGAGAGAGAGAGAGAGAGAAAATGACTGAATTTTCGAGAGAAGAGAGTGAGAATGGATGGTTTCTGGGTGAAAGCTATATTGTAGAGTGTTAAGTGGTCGCGCATAGTTCAAGAAATAAATGAGGAGACAGAAAAATAAATTGAGTTTTAGAAATTAAGGAAGGGCAAATTAAATGGAACCATACAGAGAAGGCCGAATTGGTTGTAACGGCTATTTGGGAAGGATAAGAATTCAAATTCCAAATTCGGCTTTTTTTTTTCTTTTTTTTTTTTTCAGGGTAGAGGGGGTGTTAGGGTGTGGATAATGGGCCCACGTGAGGTTGGGAATTGCGAGCTCCACGTATAGGAGCTCGGGGGTTCACAGGTGCACAGACCCCTCACTGTAGAGGATTCGGGCCCCACAGCAATTAAAAAGAGAAGGTGGGGCTCTCACATCTGGCAGGGGCCTGGTTCTGTACCTCCAGCTTTTTTCTTGGTTGATCGTTTTGCTGAATTGGAAATGGATTTGAATGTGTCTGTGAGGGAAAATTACAATTGGGTGCTAAATTTATGTGAAATAAAGTAAGTCGGTCACCAATTCTCAATCTGTTAAAAAGAGTCCTTAAGTTTTTAAATTTGTAGCAACTACGACCTTCAACGGATGTATTCTGTTTATTTGACAGTCAAAAAGTTAAAATTTGTTAATTGAACATTCAAACTTTATTTTGGATATGAATGTATTTTGAAATACTATATTGATAGAGAATGTCTGATTAAAAATTAAAAAATGAGTTTAGTGTAATATTATTTTATTTAAGAATGTATAGTTGAAAAGAAGAGAAAAAATATATTTTGGAAATAATGAGAATAAAACAAGGGCGTAGCATGTTAGGATATTATATTCTTGTTATCATTTAAACTAAAACAATAATTATCAACCATATATTCAACTATCAAAGAGCTTCCGGGGCATAGTTTAGTGGTGCAAAAGAGAGGAGTAAGGTTATCCCACGCCTTGCTAGCAGTCGCAGTGTGGGGGTTCGATTCCTGATACATGAAATTGGACTCCTTGTAGGCGCAGTGTACGGGCAACTCTTGTTCCCTGACCTGTTGGGACACATCTCGCGATTTACCTTCCTCACAAAGTTCTAAGGGCGGGGCGGTGAGGGCCCCAAGGTTGGGGTTCAATCTTTTTTTTTTTTTTTATTAACTATCAAAGATGGCAACTGAGTGGGGAACATAGTGAGTAATTACATGTTTGCCTAAAATTAGAATCTAGTTTACTTTACGGTGAACCAAATTTATTTATTTTAATATTTTTAAACACATCTCTATATGTGGATGTCGTTTTCATCCCAATCACCAAAGTTTGAACAAAATTTCAATTAGGTCATTAAAATTTAATTTATTTTAATTTAATCGATAAACTTTAATTTAGTAAATTTCACCACTATCATCGCTAAATTAGTGGAAATTGCTTCGTTGATAACCATTCTACAATCGATTATTCACGTAATTGTTTGTTACGTGTCACCCCAAAAATGAAAATGGTAAAATCAGAATTATGATACTATCTTTAGGTTAAAATTATTAAATTACTTGTTTATGAGAATGTCTTTGATTATAATTTTTAAATTACAATCTTTTGTAACACATTTATGGCTTGAAATATTGGTAATTGGCATGCTAATAGAGCGACTATGTGGAAGATTCTTTGCAATATGACCATCAATTAAAAAAAATTCATAAATTTTGGAGACGTTCGATAGAGTGGTGAAATATGAGAATAAGTTAAAATTTAGTCAATTAATTGAAACTAAATTGACATTACTCTACTGCTGAATTGAGATTTGGCTAAAGTCAAGTTGACTGCAGAAAATTAACCTTTTTTTATACGATGGTCGCGTGCACAATTCATGGTGATATTAGAGATGGATGACTAGCCAAATCTTATGCTAAAATTCATCTAATATCTTAGTGTATGTTTGGTAAAGTTTTTGTAAACTATAAACAATTAATCTTATATAATGTATAGATAAAAATTGCAGGTTCAACAAAATATGTTGATAAAAGCTGTTATTAGTTTAGGATGTATAAAATATTCAACAATGCTATGGTGACAGAATTTTTTTGATATAATGGATGCGTACTCACATTAGCGGGTAGTCCACTTCTTTTTTGGATTCTTTTATTCATGTCGGGCCCACACGCTGTGAAAGGATGTCAACCATTATGTCAAAAAAATTCTGCCAAAATAGTTTAATTGTAAAAAAAAAATTGGATTATACTACATCTACATCAGGTTATCTATAACGTTGTCCACTTCTCTCACAAAGAGAGGGGTCCACATTGGATACCTACTTCGAATGAAATATAATTTTTTCAAAATGGATCCCCCTCTATATGAGGAAAATGGACACCATTATAAAGGTTGAATTCCAACTTTAAGGGTCCCCCACCGCCTCTATCCTGAAATATCGTAAGGGAGGTAAATCGCAGGTTATGCCTCCAAGAGTACAGGATGGAAGGCTGCTTGTACATTTATACTTATCT